CTGCACCCTCTGGATGCCTCCTTAGCTGCGGAGATCCTGCCTTGGTCGCCTCCAGCCTGGGCGTTGCAATAGGCTGTAATTAGGACTGACAAAAAAGCCACCCAGCAGGGACTGCAGCCGGCACCTAAACCAATGAAAGCGCAGTGCCGTGACAAGGGCGAGCGAGTGAGGCACTTGCCTCGGGTGCGCGAAGCTGAGGGGTGCAGAAAAAGACAAATTACGTTTTTTAATTCTTATTATTTTATGAAAAATTATCACATAATATGCCCATTGCATCAGGACAAATGGAAAATAAATAGAATACACCCTACAGTAATTATAAAGCATTGGTTCTCAAACTGGGTGTCGCGACCCGGTTATGTGCGGGGTAGTGAGCCCCGAACCCGGCGCGCGGCTGCAAGTTGCGAGCCCCGACCCCTGCACCGGGCTGTGAGCCCCGACCCGGGCTGTGTTGAGCCCTGACCCCGACCCCAGGCTGCGAGCCCCGACCCCTGCACCGGGCTGTGAGCCCTGACCCCGACCCCCACAGTTCATGATGCACTATGATAAGCACCTTATATGTATTAGTTGATTTTGTATGCGGATCTTATGATTAAAATAAATAAACGTTCTATTTATCATTATTCTTGTTATTTACATTTTTTTTTTTTACAAAGTAACTACTATGAAATTATATGGAGGGGAGGGCGCAATTTTATATTCTTGCCTCGGGCACAAAAATAGCTAGTTACGGCTCTGTGAAAGCACTTCATGCCCATGCTCTTCATGGGATATTAGCTGTCAGTTTACTGGTCTCCTTCCATAGTGGGCTCAAACTCCTTCACCTCAGCTCTGCCCGTGTGTGTGCTCAATTCTCGCTCTGCTCTGTGCATGGCCAACTCCACCCTTCTCACCAAGCCCTTTTGTAGCCCGCCACCTGCGCTGGAGCAGCCTCCCTGCTCCAAGGGGTTGAGTCACTTCACGCCCCTTCTAGAAATTGGCTTCTTCCAGTACCTTTGGCCATCAGTCACCCTCTCCTGGTCTCTCCCATACAACAAATATAAGCAGTTCTGGAGCGACCTCCCCCATTCATGCAACTACCCTGCTTATCTCCCGTCCTTTGTACTGTGTCGAACTCCGACTGTGAGCTCTTCAGGGTGGGGCTCTTGTATTTGTTTATAACCGCATAGCACCCAAGCCCTGTAGACATAGCAACCTGCTCAAGGGCACGGTGATGAATGACTGTTCTCTGGGGCTGGGACATGGCACTTGGCTTTCCGGCAATGGCTCAGTTTCGTTCTACAGAGAAACGAAAGGGAGGATACGGAGCTGCACTTTAGCCTTTTGGCCCCTTCTTCTTCTGCATTTACAGGCGATGAGCCCGCCCCTCAGATGTGCCTCCACCTTCTCCCCAGAACAGGGAGTGGTGAAAAGCGCCGTATTCAACCAAGTGCAATTACTGCCTCACAGTCAGTGGGAATTGGGGAAAGTGGCTCATTCCAGGGACAGATGCAGAGGCTGCCCCCCACGCACCCCCTGCATCTCAAAGGAACACACTATGAGCACTTTATTTTAGGGGGCTGAACTGACTAGTTCTGGGGTACCTGGGGACAGGCGTTATCTGTGGAGGACTGGCTGTGGGACTGGTATAGTACGCATGATGAGGAGTGCTTAGCCATTGCAGCCTAGATTGCCTCCCTCAACCCACCTGGGCTTACGCTGCCTGTGTATGGGGCCTCTCACAGCGGGACACTAATTCCACGAATTATGGTTGGACAAACAGAAGCAGAGGGCGGAGGAGCTGCTCTACCAGACAAGGATACCCTGCCCTCTTCTGGAGCTGTAGGGTCAGGTGGTCACCTCACCTCTAGAACAAACCGGCAGTGGTAGGAAAGCTCTGGAGAAGGGCAGCAAAGATGTTTGGAGGTCTGGGGCAGGGCTTACACATGACCACAGGTTGCAGTAAGAGCCCAGAAGGAGAAAACAGCCTCCAGGTGGTCTTTGTGCTGGCTTAATATTCTAAGGCATGCAGTGAAGACTGGCCACTCCCCCTGTTGTGCACCAGAACAAGGGCTGGTTCCATAACGTACGGGCCTTTAGAAAAGTGCAAGGGACTGCCTGGGAGATTCACCATCCCACAGGGTCACTGGGCTAAAAACTGAGACTGGACACACTGATGACCCAAACATCTCTAGTTCTGTATGCTCAGAGAGGGATTATCAAACCCCATGGAGTCTGCCTCACTGCAGGGCTCAGGAGGGGTCACTCCTTCCTGCAGATGTGCATAGCGAGCCCACTGCGTTCTGGTGCCAGGCCACTGGCAGGAGCAGGCTACCAAGCTGGACAGACCATTAGCCTGGCAGGCCCTTTCTTGGACACGGTTGTGGTTTATCACCCATCTGTTGTCCATGGATTACACGTTGCTGGACTGCCTTGTTCATCATTATTTTAATATTCTTTCTGATCTCCCACCTCCTCTCAGCTCTCTTGTTTCTCAGGCAGGTTGGTTCTAGCAATGGATAGCGTTACTAAGTCAGGTCTGAGCCCTGGTACGTGCCAGTTCTCTGCATTGCGCACCCGGAAATGGGGCTCTTCAGTTAAATACGGTAAAGTCTGCGGCTCAGGCTCATTCTGTGATTCAGCAGCCGAAGGCAACTCAGCTGGTTCCTTGGTTTCTTCGCGGCAGCCAGGTACTTTTGATGCTTTTTGTATTTTTTAGCTGCACATTCGTTTCACCGATTATCGCAGAGTTAATGACGTTTGCTCTGGGAGCTGAGAGCGAGGGACTGGCTGCCAGGGGAAGGTGAAGGCAAGAGAGCGTCAGCAGCATGGGGACATCTCACCCAGAACCTGGCGGGGAGAGATTCTGGGCTGTACGCAGTCGGTAGTATTTCTAAGCCTGGTTGTTTCCCCTGCTTCTACCAGGGCCCTTGGGCAGAGAGTTCTCACAGGGATGAACCATGCCAAGGCTCCTAGCATGGAGCTGGTTCCCCGTAGGCACCGTGGGGTTAGCCATCATCTTCCCCTCTGATGGAAGCCGGGTATTTTTTCTGGGGAGAGGGATCTGCATTTGAGCCAGAATTCTGAGTTTCCGCTGCAGCTAAATGTCAAGTTTTCCCAGTGTCCCTGGGCAGCCCCTCCTGCGTCTATGGCTGGCAAGGCCCAGAGGGGCAGTGCGAAGGTGGGAAGTAGAGCTCTAGGTTATGTGAAGGACCTGACATATGTGGCTGGCAACTGAAAAGAGACCATGTTCTCCTGTGGGAGGAGAGCAGTCCTGGGCTGGGTTGTGCAGGTCAGGACAGTCACACCTGGAGAATCCCGGAAAGGGGTGTGCAACTGAAGCCAGCGTTTGTGAGCTCCAGCCCCCAGTGCCCTGGGAGAGGAGCTTGGGGTAAGATCAGGAGAGAAACTGTGCTGGGTACAGGAGCATCGAAAGAGCACCCTGCTCCACTGAGGGGTCGACTAGGGATGGTGGATGAGGAAAGTCTAAGGGATCTTTCCAGGTGGCGGAACAGGCTGGGGGTGCTAGCAAGCACTTCCCTAGTGAACAGACTTCCCCCAAATCCCACCCTGGAGCTGTGTGGCTGTCCCAGGAATACCCCGCTGAGGCTCCCAGGGCTGGGACGGGGTACACAGCACCAGGGCTCCAGGACCGGGCGGGATGGCCCGAGCCCCTCTTGGCAGTGAACTCTGGGGTTTTCACAGTGCAGGTGGATTCTGATTCTGCTCTGTTTCCATCCTGCCTGGCAGCAGCACCGAGATACGATGCTCTCCAACAGCGTTGTTATGAATGGCCACACAGGTCCCAGCACCACAGCAGCGGTGAGTGTCAGTCAACCCACCTGAGCCCCCAGGACTCCCACGGCAAGTCCCAGGCTGGCATCAGCTCCTCCGTCTCAGGGAGGGCAGCCGAGGGGGCACTGCTTGCTGCTGCCTGGCACAGGGCTCGGCAGCCAGTTCCCAAGAGAGTCTCAGAATTGCCAGCCTTTTACTCTTCTGTACATGCTTTCTGTGCTGGATTGACAGCCGTGCTGCCTTCTGGGCCAGGCACGGTACCACACGGTTAGGGCACAGGCCCCCTCCCCACTGGGCCCAGCTGTGACCTGGGGCACCCCGCTCTAGGACTGAGAGAGCAGTTCACTCTCCATGTCCCATTCGTTCCCTTGGCTCTTTGCTGAAGCTGCCCGCTGTGGAGCCAGGGGGTCGTGCTTTTGTCCAGCAGAGACTGGACCAAGATTTGTCCATTTCTTCCAGCCAGGTCACCAGCCAGCAGATGCTTTGAGGCATTTAGCCGCAGGTTGATACAGCTGCGCTGTTACAGAGACCTAGTCTCTCTGCCATCGAGGGTGATGTTAGCTTTTCCACAGCAGCTGGTCTGGTCTGCAGGGCCCCTGCCACTCAGCACTCTTAAACGTGTAAAACTTAAGGAAAGCTGCTGGCATAAAGCGCCTCAGACCTGGAGGCTGAAAGAATCAGTCCCTGCCTTCAGCCTGGAGCACTGAGGAGAGCCCTGGTTTCTCGGGAGTGTGATTTGATTGACATGTAGGGGGTTGTGTTTCTGTGATCACTGAGATGTCCCCATGGGAGGGTGGACAGGTCACGTTGATTCTGGGACTGTCCCTGCGGTGTTGGGGCAGAAGCGTGGTTGTTGGGTACCCTGAGTGCTGCATTTGCAGGTGCTGTGATGTTCTGGGGGGTTCTCTGGAGGAATTGCCAATGTCCATGGGGTTTTGTGAACACACAATTCTGCAAAGGGCCCTTTGGCTGCAATGAGACAGACCCTGGTGACCAGCATTTTGCTTGGGATTTTCTGTATCCCCATCACTTGCAGCTGGTAGTTCCAGATACGCCAACTCTCATGAATGAATTGCGAGAGTTGCTATTTCTGTGTGAAATTAAGTCTCACTCATCATAGAACTCTCAACTTTCAGGATTTTCCCCCCCAGCCATGGCACATTCTTAAAATGTGTTTCCAGTCAAACAGGAGCCTCCCCCCCTCCCCAACAAAGGAATGTGTTTTCTCCACTGGACACTTGGGCAGTTACTTCCAAAGTATTTTGAAGGACAATGCAAATTTCTTTACATGTCTGATAAACAAAGCTATCAAGATAGAGAAACTTCATGTGAGATGTAAAGAAGGGGGAGGACCAGCCCTCAAATAAGCAATTGAATCAACTGGAAGAAAAAAAATCCCAACATTGGAGAGCTCTAAAAGTGAGGCTTAATTTTACTTAGAAATCCTGTCAGCCATCCCCCACCCCACCCCAGGCACAGCCAGGGCTCCGGCTGTCAGTCCTGGGTGGCTGCTTCCCTGCCTGCCTGGGAAGTGAGAGGGGGACCCCATTGCAGCCCCCCCAGACCTGGGGAGGGTGAAGAACCCTAAGGAGCAGAGGTGAGACTGGAGGTTGCAGGGGGGGGCTGAAGGGAGGAGAGTGAGCGCTGATAAGGGGGTCTCTATTGATGGTGGGTTCTGAGCAGATACGCTGAGTGCTGGGAGGGTGAACTGAGGGCGGTGGGGGTCGATGGGGGCAATGGGGCTGAACTGATGGGGAGTTGAATTGGGGGGTTGGGGAGGACAGAACTGAAGGGGGGTTGGGGGACAGGATTAATTGCTAGGCAGGAGAGGGGTGGATGTGGGGGTGAGAGCTCCTGCAGCAGGGCCCAAAATCACCTTACCCAGTACATGTGGGTGAGTGGGGAACACAATTGTCACATGCACACACCTGGGCATGGGAACGGGGAGTTCAAACATCAACTGACCTAAAAACACACAGTCACCTTTGTTTAAAATGTCATGATTTGGGGGCGGAGGGGTCCACCTCATGATTTTTGAAGTTGGCAACACTGTATTTCTGCCCATCCAGCACTGCCCACTGCTGCATGGAACCAGATTTTGCTCAGGTTTTTGGGTAACTGGCTGCTCGCGGCTGTAGACAATGGCTAGTGTTTGCGGGTATGTCTGTAGGGTGCTCGATGCACTGGCACGAAGCTGTTGAGCTCTGCTCCCTGCCTGTGGGTCAGGTGGGGTCGCTGTGCTTGTGGCTGTGGGTCCCTCAGGATGACTGGCCTGGACCAGACTGCTGTGATCTCTCTGCTTTATTCCTGCAGAATGAGCCCAACCTTCCTCCGGAGAAGTGGAAAAATAAAAGGTAAAGGCAGTTGTTGTTTCTTCCAGCATTTATGGAAACCACCTGAAATCCTCCCCTATGTTCTGGGAGCAGCCCCTGATCCCCTTCTCCCCATCTTCCCATGGGGCAGGGTGCCCCCAAAGCCCCTTTGGATTCCCACAGACACAGCCTTTAGCATAGGGAAATGCAGCAGCAGCTGTGAGGTGGCTCCCACCACAGGGCCAGCTGAGAAGCTCTTCCTTTAATCACTCCACAGCCCCCACTAGGCTCGCCATGCCCAGAGACGACTCGTACCTACTGATACTGGGGGGCATGGGTGGCGAGTGAACCCGGGGGTCGGGGAGGCTAGTCCCTGGCCAGCCCCACCCCTCCCACCCCCTTCCCCTGCTGGAGCCCAGAGCTGCCCCCTCCCCGTGGCTGCCAGCCCTCCTCTCCTCCCCCCAGCCCCGGCGTGCCAGGCGTGCAGCCCCCGAGTGCCAGGCAGTGCAGCCCCCCGGCATGCCAGGCGTGCAGCCCCCCGAGTGCCAGGCGGTGCAGCCCCCCGGCATGCCAGGCGTGCAGCCCCCCGAGTGCCAGGCGGTGCAG